TTTAAATAATAGAACAAATAAAAAAATTGAAATTGATAAATTTTAATTCAATATTAGAAAAGCGAGTGAAATTTTAGTAACAAGTAAAAATTTTAGGGTGTATAGAGTATAATTAAGTAATTAACTAACAAAAAAATGTTTAGTTTTAGTAGTTTGGTTTTTTTCATCACATTAAGGTCGATCTTAGGATATTGGGGGTTGGCCGAAGCAAAACTTGGGCCCTAATATTATATACATATGTTTTATTTTGTATAATTTTTTTTATAAATTATAAAAGAAAAGTGAAAAATAAAATAAAAATCAAATGTGTCTACCAAAAAAAATAGTATAAAAATCAATGAAAGGCAAAAAATAAGGAAAAAGTTATAACACAACACATTTTCACCTATTGAAATGAGGTGGATGGAAATGGTGATAACGATTGAGTAATAATATTTAGGTTAAAGTAACCGAGGACCCACATAATTAAATAAATATTTATTATTAATTGTCGATTATATTAATTAATTGAGGGGTCTACAATAAATATAAAGTTTATAATATAGAAAATTAATGTCTAATGTATACAAATTTTTTATATAATATATAATAAGTATTAAAAAAAAAAAAAAGTGTGATTATATTATGTGAGTATGTGCTCGGATTAATATGATACCGCATGATGTTGAGCGAATTAGCTAGTTTGACATTACAGCTCGATAGAATAAACAGTGAATAAACTCTAATTTGCTGGATCATGGAATTGAGCTTGTATTTACTTAATTTTAATTATGCATAGGTGTCCCTATCAAATATGGCGAAACAAAGTTATAATCCCGTGGATTGATTGAACGAATCGAGGTAGGGGTTTTGATTTTAAAGTTTTTAATATTTGTGAATGTGCATGTGGGTTATGGTGTTTGTTTACTCGTTTCACTCGATCTTTTCTGAAAGTCTTTATTTCAAAGTGTTGGTTTTGGGGATGTGTTTTGATAAAGTAAAATAGTTCGAACCGGTTGTGGAAGTGTACGTGGTGAAATGAAATTAAGTTGGGTTTGACTAGCTCCACGGTGAAAGACCGGAAACCTGCGCAGGAGGTAACTTTTCCTTCGGGGTAGCACCCCGTAAAGAGGGCAGAGTCTATGATGATCGGACTATAACGGGACTGGCTGTGTGCAGTCACGGGCAGAGCTCATGATTGATCGAGCTATAATGGGATCGTTATGTCCACAAGGGACTATTACGTACATAACATGATTTGTTTTAAACTACGAGCTTTAAAAAGAAAATGTTTTTTTTTTCTTGTTCGTTCAGGATTTCTAAACAACTGTTTTCTAGAATGATTTTCGTGTTTGAGCATGCATTGTAAGTTTGCATGACCCTTTGCTTTTATTAAATCTTTGAAATCATTATTCCTACGGAGCTTTTGCTCACCCCCCTACTACTTTTCAGGTGATAACTTGGATCGAGCGAAATGATTAAACCGAGAATATGTTTTGGAGTGGAATTGCATAGTAGATTCTTACGACTTTTCATGTTCGTTTTTATTAGTATGCTTGGATGTTGATAACTCTATTTGGGTTGTCGGTTTGAAGCTGAATATGCTTTGTTTTCTTTAAATTATTTTATCATGACTATGAGTAAACCGTGGGATATTGAGATGAAACTTTATGTTGGATATGCATGATTAGATTAATATTAGGATATGTTTGGCAATGAATTATGCGTCCAAAGGTTATGAGATTTTACGTGATCATTTTTTTCCTTATTAGCTTCAATTCGATATAGAGTTTGCCGAAATCGGATTTCAAATGAGTAAGTTATGAATTTTTCTTTAAAGGCTGAATTTGTTTATATGCGAGTTTCGTATTATATTTTAAAACCTCAAATTTCCTTGTCGGATTGAAGCGATTCCAACTGTGTTTGAAACTAGACTTCTAAAACGTCATTACTGTTAAGTTTTATTCTTTTTGGATGAAAATCGATTTTATTATGAAATTTCTTTTAAGTTCCTTCAGCTGTATGTTAGTTTTGCTGCCAGCACTGTACTATTTTATTGATTACTCAAAATCGGCTGAACCGTTTATAAAACTGTTTTACAGACATATTTCATAGACTATTTACAGTGTGGTGTTAAATTTTCAGATATTTCCGACTGGTAGTTTGAGAGAAATTATTTTTTTAAGTTAAAACAGCGAGGCTGTCCGATTTTCTTTAATCGTGTTCGTTTTTCTTAAATTTATTTATTATTCACGTCACAAGATTTCGGGGCGTGACATAAACCGAGTTCAAGATGAAGTTGTAGTTGAAGATGAAGTTGTGGCTGAAGATGAAGTTAATTTGGAAGAAGTACACGAGAATGAGGTTGACAATGAAGAAGGCATTCATGTTGTTGTCGATAATGAACAAAAGATCCAAACAGATAATATCGAAATTGGAGATGCTAGTGGGCTACCATTTGAAGAAGCAAAAGAAGATACGGAACAATTGAACATAGACGACCCAGTAAATTGGATTAAGCTAGATCATAAAATGAAGGACTTGATAGTAGAAACAGGTCCTATACGAGCTGCGGATATCAACTTTGAGTACCCTCTTGATGATCAAGGTAGACATTTCTCTTCTGTGAATTAGACGCAACAACTAACAAATGGAGAAAAACAAGAGAGGAAATGGTTAGTCTACTCAAAACTTGGAGATAAGATATTTTGTTTTTGTTGTAAATTGTTCAAGCAAGATGGAGTTAAAATGCAACTGGCCACGGAAGGTTTTAATGCTTGGAAAAATATTTCAAGCAGGCTAAAGGGTCATGAATGCAGTAACGATCATATTATCTGCATGAGTCGGTGGATTGAAACCGAGACGAGAATGCGTAAAAGAGAAACAATTGATAAATCTTTGCAAGAAAAGATGAATAATGAGAAGGACTATTGGCGACAAGTCCTATTAAGGATAATTGCTCTTGTTAAAACTCTTTCACAACAAAACTTGGCATTACGTGGTAGTAATGAGACACTTTTCGAAGATGGCAATGGAAACTTTTTGAAATTCATTGAGATGATGGCAATATTTGATCATATAATGCAGGAGCATGTCAGGCGAATCCAAATGAGTCAGATTCACACTCATTATCTTGGTCCCAAAATTCAAAATGAATTGATCCAATTATTGGCAAGCGAGGTCAAGTGCACGATAGTGGAGAAAATAAAAAAAGCAAAGTATTTCTCAATTATACTTGATGTTACTCCAGATTCTAGTCATGAAGAACAAATGACTCTTGTGATTCGATGTGTAGATGTTACGGTAAGTCCAGTGAAAGTGGAGGAGTACTTCTTGGGCTTTCTCAAAGTAGATGATACCACAGGACTTGGACTTTTCAGCGAACTTGAAGAGGCGTTAAAAAATCTTCAACTTGATATTAAAGATATAAGAGGCCAGGGATACGACAACGGTTCTAATATGAAAGGAAGACATAAAGGTGTGCAAAAAAGATTATTGGATCGAAATCCAAGAGCATTCTATGTACCATGCGGCTGCCACAGTCTCAATCTTGCACTCAGTGATATGGCTGGTTGTTGTTCACAAGGTAAAAACTTTTTTGGCATTATTCAGCGTATATATTGTTTGTTTTCAGCTTCAACAAAACGATGGGGCATCTTAAAAAATAATGTGAGTGGCCTTACACTTAAGCCATTGTCACAAACACGATGGGAAAGTCGCCTTGAAAGCGTAAAACCATTACTTCTTCAAACTGAAGAAATAAGGAATGCTTTATTGGATTTGGCTAATAGCAATGAAGATGGGGCAGCAACTAGTGAGGCTCTTGGTTTCGTAACAAACGAGCTTGAGAATTTTGAGTTCTTATTAACTTTGGTTATTTGGTATGACTTATTATCATTTGTGAATATTGTTAGCAAGACTCTTCAAAATGAAGAAATGCATATGGATGTTGCTTTGGAACAGTTGAAAGGACTCATTATTCTCTTCGAAAAATATAGAGAAACCGGATATGAGAAGGCCAAGAATGAAGCTGAAGTTATAGCAAAAAAAATGGGTATTCAACCAATATTTCAAGAGAAACGAGTTAGCCGTCGAAAAAAACACTTTGATGAGAACAACAATGAAGATGTTATGCTAACATCCGAAGAATCCTTTCGAATAAACTTTGTCTTCTTTGTGATTGATCAAGCTCTTACTTCATTAAGGGTAAGATTTGAAGATTTTCAAAAGTTTGAAGACATGTTTGGTTTTCTGTGGAATATAAAAAAATGGAAACTTGTCGATGATGAAAGCTTGGAGAGTAGTTGTATGAAACTTGAAGAACATTTGAAATGTGGTACATGTTCTGATGTTAATGGGCGAGATCTGTTTTCGGAATTGAGAATGTTAAGAGAACTTTTGCCAAAAGAGATTGAAAAGGCAATTGGAGTATTGAATTATTTGAAAGAAATGAACACTTGTTTCCCGAATGCATGGATTGCTTATAGAATACTCCTCACTGTACCTGTTACAGTTGCCTTTGCAGAGAGAAGTTTCTCAAAGTTGAAGTTGCTTAAATCTTACCTTCGGTCAACTATGTCCCAAGAAAGACTGAATGGATTAGCTATTCTATCCATTGAAAAACATATTACAGGGAAGCTTGATTTTACGAGCCTGATCGATAAATTTGCAGCTAAGAAAGCAAGAAAGATAATATTTTATGATTGGTAAATGTATTTTTGTATTGAATATTTATGAATTATGAATTTAACTACATTATGTATTTTTTTTATGTTGTTATTTTGTTATATTTTTTTTTTAACATAATCATCGTTAAAGGGGGCCTCATTTTTCGTCTTTCTCCTTCTCCGCCTTGGGCCTCTCGGACTCTAGGACCGGCCCTGGATGAAGGAGATCACATTAAAAAATAGAACGAGAAAAGTTCAAAGCAATGCAATCAAAATAAACAGGGGACAAAAGGAAAACTTTAACCCAACTTTGATCAATTCACCAACCAATGGATTTCTGGAAAGCTACGAGTTCAAAAATTATATCTTACACAAAATCAAAGCAAAAATGTTCACACATATGAACATAAGTAGCTGATACTAAAAAATTAATATAATTAAATGAGATATTTGCAGAATTCAAAAGGAAGATTCGAGAAAAAAAATAACTTTATGAGATATAATTCACAGCATAAACTCACAATTACCCAAAGAAGAGGATGCTCGATCGTCACCCGGAAGAACAAATGAGAGAGGGAGATGAATGCAGGAATGAACGAAACATAAAGTTAATCAATAATTAGGTTACTAATTTTATGATAATTATTGCTCTGTAATTAAACTTAGATATTAATGTTAATTTATAATTAAATTTTATCTTAAGGGTTTTTGTGTAATTTTACTCATAAGGTAGGTATCGTACAATTTTTTCATGGGTTCGTACTAATCTGACATGGCACAATTTTATTGGAAAATTATGGTCCGAGAAGTACAACCCTCTCGGACCCTAGACAACCCCGACATTCTTTTATACTTTTAAAATATCCACTGCAAGTATTTAATTAATTAGTAATCAAAATAAATTATATTTTTATATACATAATATTAAAAACACTAATTTAAAGAAATAAAATAATTATGAAATTTTAGTTCGCATAGTTATATATATATATATATATATATATATATATATATATATATATATATATATACCATACCTAAGATACAAAATATTTATGTAAATAACAGAATAATTGTTTGTGAGATTCAAAATAAATTTATGTTTGTAGATCTGATATGAATAGCAATTTTAGGATTTTTTTTTATATTATCAATAATACAAATATTGTATATTACTATTATGATTAATATTGAAATATATTTTAATAAGGTAAAGCATGATATACTATTTTAACATATTTTTGTCCATTAATAAACATTTTATTATATTATCAATATAATAAGAGTTATTCTAGGAATTGTTTGCCATTAGTGAACATTTTATTATATTATCAATAATACAAATATTGCATATTAATATTGTAATTAATATTGAAATTTATTTAATAAGGTAAAGTATGATACTATTTTAAAAGTTATCTAATGATATTTTTGTTTCTTATATATGTATATAGTACTGTAAAAATATATTTCAAACAATATTTTTTATAATTTAAGACAGTTAAGGTTTGTGAATTGTTCAAATATTCCAGCACACTTATAGTTCTAAAAGCTCATTTATACATTAAATTAATAATTAAATATTTTACAAAATTAACCAAAATGAACTGTTTCGTTTATAGATAATACAAAAATAGTTATTTGTTTCGAAATATTTGTTTAGAAAGAATAAATATTTCACGTAAGAAATAAAAAATATCATTTAGTCGTTATACTAAGTACTAAATTAGTGTAAAATTCCAGATGAATAACCAATTTTTTTTATAAAAAAATCAACAACTAAATGCAAATAATCATATAGTATTAACAATCTTAAACATAGTGAAAAAATGTCCATTCCGAATATGCACCATAGAAGAAAAATGATACACACTGAATCTTATATTGTGGCAATATTCGTTATATATATATATTATTTGATGTAATAATATATTATTATGGATTTAAATCTTAACATAAAATAATCAATCAGTACGAAAAACAAACCTTTGACCACTATATCTACAATTGTAAACAAACAAAACAAAATGTTAGATATACAATCTTATATGTAAATGAAAGTATAAATAATTATTGCATGAATATGACATAATTAACAATACAAATACATAGATATAAAGCACGCGAAAAATTAACAGAAAAAAATGGAACTTCATTAAACATTTGTAGTTTTCTGGAACAAAATTGGATGAAAGTGATGAGTGTGATGTAAAGGGGATTTTATACTTGTTTTTTATTTGCTAAAAATGTAAATAATACATAATTAAGGCACAAATAAATTAATTATTAAAAATCATTAATATTTGGAAATCAATAAGCATATTTAAATAAGGTGGCGGATATATGCAAGCCCAATTTTTTTCTATGTTCAAACACATATAAAAGGGTTCATTAGTTCAAGACCATAAATTAACATAATTTTCTTATATCAAGACCAAAGAAGACGAATATGCCCTCATCACAATATTTCTTATAAATCGGCATGCCAGCGCCGATTTTGTCCAACAAAATCGATATTCCGATTTTTGTTACAAAAGTCAGCACATGGTTACCGATTTTTGTAACAAAAATCGGTCTGTAAATACCGATTTGTGGTATCGGCAAGTTTTTTTTCCCAACAAAAAAAAAAAAAACGACCCATAAGCTAAAATAAACGGTTAAAACATACATCATTGTGTTCTCCACCATCATAACCACCATCTCCTTATTTTGTTTTGTGAATGTTTGGTGTGTATTTAATTATTTTAGTGTGTAGGGTTGGTGGATTTGTGAAGAAGAAGGAGAAGGAGGAGAAGTAAATTTTTAAGTTGTGAAATAATGAATGAGTTTGTGGGTTATGTATTTTATTTGGTCTTACACAATGAGAAAAGTCTTTTTTTTTTTTTTTTTTTTAATTTGGTCTTGAATTTCATTAAGGGTAAATTACTATTTTTATGTTGGAGGTCTTGAACAAAGAAATTTATGGGCTTGCATATATCCGCCACCTTTATATATTATGGTACAATATTGTATCATGTAAATATTTTATTCTCAAAATAGGAAATAAAATCAAGATTTATGGTATTATTACCCTCCCATATTAAAGCCATCAAATTTATCATCGAACAATAAAAGTATGATATCTTTGCCAAAATCAATATATTAAGATTTATTTTTTCTTAGAAATTAGTTACAATTCAAGGTAGTTCAAGTATAATATATATACTATCGGATTTGAAAAAAAATCAAATAATTGCCTAAAAACATGATATTTCGAATTAGTTTTGTGAAATTTTATAAATATAATATATTTTAGAGGAATTAATTCTAAAAGAAATACATAGAAACACAAAAATATAAATATAATATAAAAAAATTCGAAAATATATACATAATATAAAAAAAATTGAATATTCATACATTAAAAAGTAAGTTTTCTAATTCTTTTAGAAAATAAAGGCAAAAAATATAATTCTAAAAATTTAAAATATTAAAAAGATAATATTTTTCGAATAAAAAGATTAGAATTCCTATGTTTAAAAAGTTATTTAATTTTTCTTTTTCATTTAAAAAAATGTACAACCATGGTAGTTAATCTCGCGATATACAGCGACATATATATATCGTGATACGGTATGGTTCCAATCAAAACGATACAACTTTGGTTTTGTATCGCTTATTGACAAATACCGTGAGATATCGTATCGTATCGCCGTATCACAATACGATACGATATTTACGATATTAGTTGACAATTAAAAAAATGAAAAAAAAAACGCAATTAGCTGATCTGAAAAATGGATTTGAACAAATTTCTTCAATATCCAACCCTAGTTCACATTTTTCTCTTCAATCTGTTCACTAATTTTTACTATATAGCAACCCTAACTCAACTTCTATATAGATTCTTGTGATTTTATATTGCGATTCAAGACAGATTCAAGGCGTTTTTTGACTGAGTTTTGCGATTGATAATGATGAAGGTAATCGTTTAAATTGATGGATGGTGACGATTTAAGTGACATTGATCTTCAAAATTATGAGTGATTTAATAATTTTACAAATTAGATATTCGAATTTGAAATTAGTACCCATTTAGCTAAAACTTATTTTAAACAACCGATAAACTCTTAAATCTGATAAGTTATTTTAAGAGTTGATAAATTGTTACGTTTTATTTTTAAAATTAAATTTTTCAAGTGTTTAGATAATAATATTACAAGCTATTTTTACTCATCATAAGATATTAAATAAATAAGCGGTAAATGTACTTTTTAAAAAACTCCATCAACTTGTATTTTGATTTTTAAGATCTTTAAAACAAAACTAGCTAACACATTGGAACAGGTTATAAGCTCTTAAACATATTATTAACATCTTATAAGCCTAACCAAACACCCTCTTACATGATGTTATTTGATGAACAATTATGATTTTTGTCCTATTTTATAATAAGATGTTGAAACTTGAATTTGTATCTATTTTGAAATGAGTACTTTAACTTAAAAATATTAAATTTTACATGTTTATAATATTTTTATAATGTAGATATATATTTTATACTATTTTAATAGTTGATTAAATATCTTACGATACAATACAATATCGATACAGTACGAGATGTACAGCAAAACAATACAAGATATTTTTACGATCATGTTGATAACATGTGTACCAGTACTAATTAAAATTTCATAATTCTTTGTAACATATATCTTCTATACACACAGCCTCTATCGTGACATAATCGAATGTAAATAATTCCAATTTTAATATCTTCCAATGGAGGGAACTACTACACTCAAGAAGAAATGTTAATTTATTATAAATATACATATACATGTAAGATTAATGCATTTTTTTACGATATTTTATCAACTAAAGACTTCAAAGTTTCAACTGTTAATAAAAATACAAAAAATAATTTCATAATCCTTAAATTGTTTAAACCTAACTTGATTTGAACTAATAGCGCAATCTGCATATGTATAAAATAACCACTATTTAAAAAAAAAACATAAAAACTTTAATATAATACAATTGCACCTTCAATGAGGTAGATATTTTTTTTTTCTTTTTTCGTGGTGAATATTGTGCATCCCTTAAAAGAGATGAATCAGATGATATCGATTAAAAAAAATTATAACGGACCAATTCATGCATAAAGCAATTCTGAAACAATATGTAGAATACAGACAATAAGAAACTTGGGAAAACGCAGCCCGTGGACAA